GTGGTGCCATTAAGATTATGAATCAACTTTAAGAACCTATACTCAAATCATTAGAAGGAGAATCATATGCTGCAAACCAGAAACGAAGTATTACTCTGTGCGTGCCAACCAGATGGCCCTGCTTGCAACTAGAAGTTTGGGTGCTCCCAACCTAAAATCAGAGTTGGAATAGATCACATGTGAACCGCTTCTAGCAACTAGAAGCAGATGGCCCTACTTGCAATCATCGGAACCCTAGCACCAATTAAAGGAGGGGCTCAAGCTTGGGTGCTCCCAACCTGACCTCAAAACTATTTTTCCTTGTCTTTAATTTCTATAGGCAAACTACCAAATTACAAACTAAACCTGAATCATAAACTAACAAGAAAACAACTCACACAAGATAACAAAGAACAAAAGAAAATAAAACAGATACAACTTCTTAGGACTTGCTGAAATCTAGACATCTGAACAAAGTTTGGAAATAACCCAGAGAATAAATTCCTGTCCATATGGCTCTGGTGTTTTGGTGTTGAGATTGATGCACTTTAACAAGAGTAATTGCAAGTAAATATGTTGTTCGCTTGTATGCCACTTTCAACCAACACACTGTATAGCATTCTCATTCAACCTTGCTCTCTAGGATTGATGTCCATGAAACAACATATCCTTCCATCATTCTTTCAAACACCTTATGAGCCTCCAATAATTTACCAACTCTCAGATAACTAGAAATCAAATTATTATCTACAAACATCACAGGAGATCTTAAATATTTTACAATGATTACATGTAATCTTCTTAGTTCTCTCACAGCATAAGACAACAAAATCAAGGAAGCAAACACATCAGGATCCCTCAACATAGAATCAGATAAATTGGCTCCTGGGTTTTGTCTAGAATGGGGAACATGGTAGAGGTTTTGTAATTTGTTGAAAACAAGCAATTTTGACAAGAAAATGTCAAAAACAATGATATTTTATGAGATTCTTGTACTACTTATAGTTTGTCCTAATCTTTTTGAAGACTAATAAAAGGCATTTTATTAAAAAGAAAAAAAGGTTGCAAAGTAAGAGGTGACAAGCAGGCACCTCGACAATAATTAAAAACCATTAAAAACAAACTAGAAACTGATACAAATCTGAAATTCAAGTACATTCCACAAGATCTCCCCCAAATCTGATCTGATAATCTGTTCAAACTCTGGGATCACCAGACCGACTCTGAGATGAAATGCCCAACTAAAGCCACCAATGCCTCAGTAGTTTGAAACAACACCCCCTGACAGGTCAACTCTATTGGTTAAAAGGCTTCTGACCATGTTCTCACCAGAGTTCTCTTGTTTCTCTTCCTCAATCTCTCTAATACAGCTTAACAACCCCATCCTTCTCCCCTCACCAAAGTTCTTTTTTTTTTGATAGATAACAAGAAAATTTTATTGAAAATGAAAAGCTGAATACAAACTAAAGGCAGGTGTTAAGATAACATAACCAGACCCAACAACTACTTCATCTAACCGCCTACAACAAAGAAGAAATCAAGATAGAGAAACATGAGAAAGCACAAACACAGAAAACACTGCACCAGCCAATCAGATCCTATGTACAGATCAATCTTCTGCCTCATCAAACTCTTCTGGACCTCCTTCCTCATCCCAAATTTCTCCCCCTAACTCTTCCGGAACCTTTCTCATGCTTTCCAGCTTCCTCTTCTTCTCCATAGCTTCAAAAGCTCTTCTAGCAAACTCCTCCCCTCCTAAAAAGAACAAATCCAAAGACTTGCTAATTTCCACCTCTCTATCAACTAGAATCTTCCAAGTCCTCTCCTCTTAACTCTGTTGCCTTATCCCCACCATCACTTGACTCACTTCATCAGAAACCTCTTTCAAAATAACATTGGACCAATTTGTTTTTTTCTGAACCGTTATGCCCTTTCAACTCCACCAAAGGGGAAACCTTTCCAGGCCCTTCGGAAGAGAGGGACAACTCCAAACACTAGTTCTCAAGACTCGAGGAGTTATTTTTGACCCCTTTTTCTTCTGTAAATTCTTTTATACTTATTGGTCGGTCCAGCTCCCACCAAACCATCTTTCAGTCTTGAAAATACCTTTGTAACATGAATCACATTAAGCTTGTTTGAACCTTTGGTCTTCTTAGGAATCGCCGGGACCTCACCACTTCCAACCAACCTCTTCTCCTTACCCCTACGACCCTAATCCAATCCCAATCTTCCAACAACCACTTCGGAAACCTCATAATCAACACCATTCCTAATTAACTTATCTTGGAGGTTCGAAGCAATCCCGTTTTCTCCCTCAATTTCTCAAGAGCCACTTCCTACCTCAATGATGGCTCCTTCCTCCCCTTCCTTGATTTTGGTAACCGTATTATATTTGTTAGGAGTGGTAAGTTCATGGTAATACAATTTTTTTATGTGGATGACATGGTATAACATGCAATGATATGACTTAAATTTCAAGGTTGAACCATTGAAGCAGTATCTAGCTACAGGGTTTGAAATAAAAGACCTTAGGGAACTCAAGTATTTCTTGGGTATTGAAGTGGCAAGATTAAGAAAGGACATTTTCATTTCTCAAGGGAAATATGTCATTGATTTGTTGAAGGAAACAGGTAAGCTTGGTGCACAACCAGCACACTCCCATAGGTCCCGATCATAATCTTTATAGTAGCGAGAGTGATGTGTTGACGAACAGAAGGATGTATCAACAACTACTGGAGAAGCTATTACCTCACCAAATATTTCCTATTCTGTAAGTGTGGTAAGACAATACATGTATCAGCCACAGATGTCTCACTTGGCTAATGTAGAAAGGATATTTTGATACCTGAAGGGTACTCCTAGTGTTTTTTTTTTATCAATAACAGAAACTTTCATTAAGAATTAAAGGCATTTACAACGGTGACTAGGGGAGGGGTAAGCTTTTTTAGCCCACCCCTAGCAAACAAATACAACCCAAATTACAAAATAGCCCAAAACAGTGGTTCTCTTCCCACCCCTTGTTTAGCAAGAGTATCCACAAATGAGTTAGCATTTCTTTTTTACTCATTGTAACTGAATCTCCACACCTTGTACTAGCCAATTGAACATTCCTTTTTCGTTAGCAAACTTTCAAAGACCAATCTTTTCTTTCTGTAGTCATCCTATAACCAGTTTTGAATCCCCTTAACAATGAGCTTGTGGCTTCCTAGCTCCTTTGCCTTTTTCATTCCTTCTAGCACAGTCAAGACATCAGCTCAAAGTGAATCGCCTACACCAATAGGACCCACGAATAGGGAATGACATTCCCATCCTCATCTCTGAAGGTTCCCCCAATTCCAGAAGGTCCCGGATTACCTTCACAACTCCCGTCAAAGTTCAGCTTGATAAAACCAAAGGCTAGAGAAGACGAAAGGGGACTCTAATCTTGGTTTTAGTAGGAGCTGAATTATCCACTTCCTTCCAATTGTTTCTCATCATATCTGTGGAGATATCCTCAAACATTTCCATAGATTTCACCCAATGCACCACTCTAATAGTAACTGTTTCAATAATGAACTCCCTATTCCTCTCCTTTTCATTAAAATTCCAGACACAACTAATCTCCTCACCCTTAGAACAATATAGTATCATCAACAAACTGTAAATGGGTGATTGGTACCCTATCTCTGCCCATCCTCCATCCTCTCACTAAGTGTTTCGAATCAGCCCTAGTTATTAGTCTGCCCAAAACTTCAGCAATTAAGGTGAACAGAAATGGGGAAAGGGGGCCCCCTTGTCTAAGACCTCTAACTATAGGAAAATGGTCAACCACTGATCCATTCACCAGAATAGAGTAGTACAAGAATCAATACAACCTTGGATCCACTTGCACCATTTTACCCCAAAACCAAAGTTCTCCAAGACCTATAGTAAGAAGGACCAATCCACCAAGTCATAGGCCTTCTCTAGATCCAACTTGCACACAACTTTTTTCCCAGTTCTTTTCATGTCCTCAACACATTCGTTGGCAATTAAAATCTGATTCGTTATTTGCCTAGTACTAACAAAGGCACCTTGGTTCTAGGAAATGAGGTGATATATGGGTCATCATGGCATCTAGGATAGAAGCCTAAACAAATATTGGGTTGGATCTATGGATGGTAGGTAATATATGGTTGATAGGAAATCTACATCTGGATAATCCACATTTGTAGGTGGCAACATTGTTTGTTAAGAGGAGTGAGAAGTAATCTGTGGTTGCTAGGTCGAGTTCTGAAACCAAATATCATGCAATGGCTCATGCAGTTTCTGAGCTATTATTGGCTAAGAACACTTATGACTTGGTTGAAAGTTGTTTTCGAAGACTAAATGACGTTATCTTGTGACAACCAGGATGCATCAACATTTCCAATAACCCAATTCAGCATGACTAAACAAAACACAGAGGTCAGTAAACACTTTATCTGAGAGAGAGTAGGTAGTAGTAAGACCTGCTTACGTTTTATGAAGTCTACAAATTAATTGGCTAATTGCTTGACTAAAGGTGTACCACATTAAAAATGGAAGACAGCTTGTGCAAGTTTGGCATGTATAATATTTATGCCTAGCTTGAGGAGAAGTGATATAGGGTGGCTGTTTAGGGATATGTTGATCCATTTAATTTCTTTACTAATTGGTGGAAATATGTAATTATACACATTTTTACTATTCGGTTAAAAACCTAATAAAAAGTATGTAGTGTTGACTTTTTTGCCTCTAAAACATTGTTCTCCTCTCTTATTTCTCTCTTCTTTTCTTCTTCTTCTTCACTTTTCAATCTTATTTCACCCAAATGAACTTCTATCATTTCAGTTGCTGATCAAAAAGAACAAAGGAAAAGGGATGTTTATGAGTTCATTCTAAACAGATACAATAGCAGACCAAATAAAGACATTCTAATCAGAGACCTCCTTGAACCACAACAGCCATCTAGGTTCTAATATAGCATAGTATGTTTATGAGTTCATTGTAAAAGAGATGTTTCAAAAAGTTTTGACTCTCACCTCTAGGCAGTCAATCACAGCCAGCTGGTGTTCTTCAGCAATGTCTGGATTTACCTTCATAAGTCTACGAAGGGCATCAATGCCTAAATATTTTAGATTATGATTGTCACTCTGCTCATGAAATAAAATGTATTAATGATATTAGTTTTCACACAGAAAAAGTCATGAGAACAATAACATAAACTGGACCTCTGCATAATAAAACCATCAATGTCCCTTTCAATTTCAGAAAGCAAAGGGCAAACAGTAGATTTAGCAGACCTTCAGAAATCTAGAAGTAACTTCAGCAGCAGAATCTAATAATTTAGGGCTTGGATGTATAGAGGAAACACAACAAATGCACTCATACAGGACAGCATTTCCGATGTTGCTTGATGAATCACACTTCCTGAATATGTCACCAAGAACTGTATACATGTGTTCACTTGCTTGCTTATCACCACTGCCCAGCAATGCCAGAATTTTCAGTAACCTGATCTGCATGGCATAAAGTACAATTATTGAACAAGTAAATAAAGATTACAAACCTTGTCCCTGCTTGGATTGCTTAACTTTTTCAAAACGTTTTCACATCTCCATAGAGCTAAGACAGAAATATTAAAGCAGGAAATTATAAATATTACATTTAAAATTAGAAAAAAGAAAAAGATACATATTCCTCAAATATCTACCTATCTATATAATTTGTTGAAAAAGAATATTTATGTTTTCTTCTAATAAATCCTTTTTGTATTGTCATATTGGCATTTGTTATTTTTGCAGGGGTGGTGTTGTGTTCTCTTCTTCTATTTTCATAGTGATTTGAGGTACACTAGTTTTCCCTTAAGTCTCTTCTAAAACAAAGATCCCAATTTAATCCCGAAGGAGAGAGTGTACCCATTTTTGATACAACTTCCCCTTTAAGATTAGAGAGGGCAAAAGGTTCAGAGAATTGATTTTTTAGAGGTCTTTCCCCTAAACATAGGTCTTCCCAAAACCAGATTTTATCACACCTTCCCACATCAAAACAGTGGAAATAAGAAATAAAGGGTAAATCTCATGATTTTCTTTCCAAGGATAAGCTGAGGAAGAGTAAGGAGCTAATTTAGAATCCAAGCCATTAACCTCCATACCATGAATGCTTTCAATAACTTTGTGCCACAACTTGTGTCTTTCAAAGGGAAATCTCCACAACCATTTCCCTAGCAAAGCAATATTCCTAAGTACAATGTTCCCTAAACCTAGGCCCCCATTCTCTTTTGGCTCACAGACCTGTTCCCATTTAACCAAATGGTCCTTTTATTTCCTCTCCCGATTCCCACAAAAAGTCCCTCATAGATTTCTCTAGTTGTCTAGCTATCCTAGTCGGGATATAGAAAGTGGATAGGAAATAGGTAGAAGGTTTGGTATTGTTACTCTAACCAAGGTGATTCTTCCTCCTAACGAAATATAATTCCTTTTCCAGAGAGCCAGTTTCTTTACAAACCTCTCTACCGCTGGCTTCTAGAAACCATCAAACCTAGGGTTTCCCCCCAAGGGTAGACCTAAGTAGGTTAAGGGCCAATTCCTAACCTCACAACCCAGCACTTCTGCAAATCTTATGAGTACCCCTTCTTCTAAATTAATTCAAGCAATTCCACTTTTATTCCAATTGATTCTCAACCTTAAGATACTCACAAAGTTAACAATCAATAACTTTAATTGTCTCACCCTTTCTAAGTCAACATCCTCACAAAGCAGAATTGTATCATTAGCAAATTGAAGGTGGGATACAACTACTTGATTTATACCAATCCTCCAGCCCTCTAAGAATCCCTGACCATCCTCACAAAACAGAATTGTATCATTAGAAAATTGAAGGTGGGATACAACTACTTGATTTATTTATACCAATCCTTTAGCCTTTAAAGAATCCCTGACCACCCTCACAAAACAGAATTGTATCTGTAGCATGAAGGTCGGATACAACCAGTGTTTTAAAAGCGTAAGGCACAAAAAAAGTGCAAGGGCCAACTTGTGCTTGAGGTGCAAGGCACAAGGTGAGGCGCGCCTTTTTGAAGCAAGGCACAAAATTACAAAAAACAATGCTAAAAAATAAAAAAAAAATGTCAAAAAATTCAAAAACATGTCAAAAAAATCAAAAAAATGCCAAAAAATTTAAAAACAAATCAACAAATATTAAACATAATGTTAATAAAAAATATAAACTTAAATTTTACTAAAATACATAAACATGTAAAGTGTATTCAAATGAAAATTATTTGCTTCTTTGTATGGGAAGCCTGTCTCCAGAAAGTTAATACTTGTGATCTCCTATAGAAAAAACTTTTGGGAAGACGCTCCATTTCTCCTCATGTTTGTATTTTATGTCTCAGTGAGGGTGAATCAGTAGATCATATTCTTCTTCATTGCAGCTTCACTCAAAGGATATGGTTCCACTTCTTGAATATGGCAGGGTACAGCTCGGTTTTTTCAAAACACATTATGGACAACTTGAATCAATGGCAAGGAATAGGGCTTAGCAAAAGGGGTAAAGTCTTTTGGCAATCAGTGCCTCATGCAGTNGGGGTAAAGTCTTTTGGCAATCAGTGCCTCATGCAGTAATGTGGGGCGTTTGGGAWGAAAGAARYAYYCGTATCTTTGACAATAAAAGCAGAACCTTGGAGGAGTTAATCTCAGATATTACCTATCGTTGAATCCTTTGGGCGGTGAATTCAACTCTGTTTAAAGGACTGTCAGTCAATGATATTACCAGAAATATCCACCCCTTTCTGTTTCTGCCTCATCCCCAGCAAACTCCCGTGAGGCACCCGTTTCCATCAGTGATGGTGTGATAACCCTTAATTTTGACGGTTGTGCCTTAGGCAGTCCGGGCTTTGCAGGTATTGGCGGTACAGTAAGGGACGAAAGGGGCAATATCTGCGGGACTTTTAGTGGTCCAATCAGTTGGGCCGACTCCACAAAGGCTGAAGTGATGGCTGCTCTCACCGGAATCAGGATAATAAAGAATTTGGGAATTCAGAATTTGATCATTGCAGGTGATTCAGCAAATAGGATAAAATGGCTAAGAGACAAAAAAGGGGGCCCTTGGAGACTGTAATCACTATCTGACTGGAGCTTGGGATTTTTTGGATGGTTTGAATGTTAACTTAGTTTGGATTCCTAGGGAACACAATCATACTGCAGATGGCCTAGCTAAATTTGGTGTGTATTTGGAGGATTTGTATAGCGACAAGCTTCCTCCTTTTGTAACTTGTAGGGGTTCCCCCCTACTTTGTATATCTCCTCTTGTTCCCCCCCCCCCTTTTTTTCTTAATAAATTCTGGTTAAATTTTCTAAAAAAAAAATAAAAGCAAACATATAAAGATTTAAAAGCATGTAAAACCCACAATCTCTTTTTTTCATTACTTCAAGTAGCTAATGTGATGTAAAACATATTGCATTCTTGATTCTCTGAGTCACCTTTGTACCACACCCCTCGAGGCAAGCCCGAACAAGTCCATGTTAGGGTCTTAAATTCTTATTTCTCACATAAGAAATAATGATTTTATAATTTTAATTGCCTTTCAAAAAGATATTTTATTGGAATGAATGAACGAACAACATTAGCAAATAGGGGTGCGCCTTTTGAAAGGGGTGCACCTAGGACCTGGGCGAGGTGCATACCCTAAAATGCGCCTTGCCTGTGCACCTAGGTGCACCTTTTAAATCACTGGATACAACTACTTGATTTATACCAATCCCCCAACCCTTTAAGAATCCTTGACCATCTGCAGCCACAATCAATCTACTAAGTACCTCTGCCACTAGGGTGAAGAGCAAAGGGGACCTCTCTTATCCAAGAAKAAGTCTCATAAAGCCCCATTAATAAGGATTCAATAGTGGACTGAGTTCACACAACCTTTAATCCACATTCTCCACCTAGCCCTAAAACCAAGCCTCTCTAAAATTTCTAACAATAATCTCCAGTCAACTAAACAGGCCTTCTCTAGATCCACTTTACACACCAAACCTTTTTGCCTACTTTTCTCAGCAATGCATTCATTAGCTACTAGGATTTGATCCACAATCTGCCTACCTTCCATAAAAGCCCCTTGGAAGGATGAGATCACTTAAGGCAGGATCTGCTTAAGCGTTGGAGAGAACCTTTGAAATGATCTTATATAGGGTACCAATCAAACTTCAGGTCTGAAGTCCTTTGGAGATTTTGCTTCCTTCTTCTTAGGCACCAATGAGATAAAAGTGGCATCAGCTCCAAGAGAGATCTCCCCTTTAGGCCTTTATAGAAGAATTCTTCAAAGGCTTCAAAGAGATCTGATTTTAGAAACTCCCAACATTCTTGGTAAAAGGCCATAGAGAAGCCATTCAACCTTAGGGCTTTGGAAGTTACCAAATTGCCATTGATTACCCGCCTTTTTCTTTCGGAATTACCACATTGCTATTGATTAAACCTACCTTTCTTCAGCGTTTTTAAAAATATTTAAAAAGCTTTCTTCTTCTATTAACCTCTTTTCTCAGTCCAATTCATTATACTGTTCATCTTCCAAAACTAGTTTGCCCTTTCCACTCCCCTTTCCTTCCTCTCTCCTTCCGCCACATACGATCACTGTGCTTAGCTCATCATCTTCTTCAACCTTGGAATAGCCATTCCAGAGCACTGCTTTGACTTCTTAGCAAACCATGCCTTCCTCCATTTCCTTCCACCCACAGATCATAGGAGCAAGGAAAGCACTTCAGTTTCACTCCAAGCACCTTAGCCTTCACTGTGTACAAGTCATCAAAGCAAAAATCTTCCAACGACCCACCTATCGCAGATATTATTCTATAACAACTAGATCTTCTTTGCAAAGGTTGAACAGCAAACCCACCAGCTTCACTATAGAACTTGCTACAATAAATTCCTTCTCATTACAGGACATCTTCCACCTTTCAAACAAAACCAGCACTACAACAGTTCTCACCATTGGAACTTCAACCTCTTCATCTCCTATGTCAACTATAGCCCTGCTATCACTGAATGGTAAAAAAGCAGTAGTATTTTCAACCTTAGGCTCTTCCACCACTGAATCCAGTATTGGTCACCAATCACACGCTCTCTTTTGCAGTAATAGCATACCTCTTCTCCTAGTCACCATTTTCCACCCCCAATATTTTTAGTACGTTATGCAAGCTAGCAATGAGAACCAACCCCTATTTCTTTTGTTGGCCATCACAGGAACTCGCAGAATCCCTATTGGACTCTGGGATCTCCTCCATTTCTATAAGGTGAGCAACTTCTACAGCCATATCAATCGGCTTCTCTCCCTGAGTTTCTAAAGCAATGGAACACAAATACTGTTGCAGTTCTTCAGAAATCCTCTTCCAATCACTGCTATCCTTCCCATCAAGCAGGCAAACCATTTGCCTATTAACTTCTTCAGAGAACTCTGCAACTGTTATGCGCCATCCTTTTTTTTATGAATTAAGATAATTTATTAATCCAGAAATATGAGGCAATA